TGCTTCCGGGGTTTATTAACCATTTATGACCAAAAAATGTGGCAGTCCTATGGCGTGAGGGGGAAAGCTTCTGTAAATTTCTCCCCCAAAATACTGTAGTGTGCATATAGCGACTTCTCATTGGAGAAATTATTTTACACACATTGTTCATGAAACGTTCTGTATATTCTTCCATGATTAAGTTTTGCAATCCATGAATACCCTTGTCTGCCCCGTATTGGTGTCATCTCACGGACACCATCATTATGCCTAGTTTGCATCACAAGGACACCATCCCTTATTATGGATCGGCTCACTTCGGCACCATTTTGGAGTGGCCTCCTGGCGCGCTCTCTATCTTTGTTTCTATCTTCATCTCTATATTTGTTTTTAATGGACTTCTTAATTCTGTGTAACTTACGTCCAAGGTAAATGATTAAGATAGTGCACGAAACGAAAAAGAACTGGAAATCCATCGAAGAACCTACGGCCATTACTACTTTCCCGTATAGAAGCATTGCCAAAAGGGGTGTGAAGAACATTAATATGGAAGTAGCGATTCCTAATCTGTCACATGAGGATTCCTCCTTTTTAGAAGATTTACTATTGCCCTTTGCGTGAGGAAGAAAGGAGCGAAGTGGTTGCTTCCTGATTCCTCTTTCGATGTCTTCAAGAAAGTTGTTTATCAAATTGGATGATTGGTGGTTCTCGCTAAAATAACTCCTTGTCTTTCCAGAGGACTTCCCTCCCTGTGGGACCCCTCACATTTTACGATTCTGTTAATCTCTTTGCGTTTGCGACCTCCTAGGGGACGGTCCAGTGTGCATATCTTCTTCGCTTCTGTCAGTGTTGCTTGCTTGTTTCATCGCATTTCTGAAATTGTATTTTACACGTTTTCCTGCTGTTTCTGGAAATCTCTCTCCGGATTCATCCCGGTTTTAATGGGTTTGGGACTGTTCCTCGTGGTCGTAATAGGCAAATTCCTGCCGGTTTTCATAGGTGCGTGCTCCAGAAGGGTAGTAACTCCTTCCCTGATAACAGTTGTCGTCTTCATCCGGATTGTCTTCATCCTCATGGTTTTCATCTTCCCTCCTCATCCTCATCGTTATCATCCTCATCGTCACAACCTTCATGGTCACTGTCCTTCCCGTGATACATTCCATCATGATTATCGTAGTCCTCTCTCCTTCACCGAAGGAGTAAAATATTCCTTTAAACTCCTTATTTATTCCTGATGCCTTTAAAATTATCCGTGGTGAATTCTTTATATTC